AGCAAAATTGGATGTAGAATAGACAGAATGCACTGTAGTGTATATGTGAGGAAATATTTCACACACTTAAAATGTATTGTGTCTACATGTTTACAGTTTTATTTTTATGTTGACCTGGTAAGTTCAAGCTCAGGATGCATTTGGGTCACATGGTCACATTGCTTGCAGTAGGGCACAGTCACACATAAGCAAATATCATGGGTTACATTTTAACACAGTTAAACCCCATGGAGCCTCCTTCACCACAGGAAGTGAATGTTCCATTCACCTCCTCACTTGCATGAATTGGAAGCGAATGGGAGGCGAAGGTTTGTCTGCTACATTCATTCGTGTGACCGTGGCCTGAGACTGAAGCCAGACTCAGTCCTGTAGCCTTCATCGAAAATGTAGCCTCATTGTGACTGTGGCACTGTCATTCCATTTGCATTTTTTAAAAAGATGTTTTATGTCTCACAAAACAGCAAACAGGGGAAGCAGTTACAGACATAATTCACACCACATCCAGTTAGTCAACTCTGTTTCAGATAACAGGAGTGGGAGAAGCCCCGGGTGGACTTTGTCCTCATCACTTGCTGCTGAATCTGTAAATCAGGTTGGTCTGGACCTAGCTCTTTATTCTTTATTTTCTTGTTGGGCTGTTTTTGTTGAGAAATCACTTTACATACCGCAGTTCAGTGGATGCAACTCAATGATGATGGACGCACCTGAGAGGGCATCAAGGGTCGACCAGTCACACTGAATAAGTGGAAAATCATAAAACAATACATATTGGCTGTAAAAAAAAAGTGGGAGTTTCGGGGTTCAGAGAGCTGCGTCCCGTGAAAACTCTACAACAACCAATTAAAGAGCAGCCTCAGGTCCCATGGTTAGCAACATTTTCAGGAACCACATTCCAATCCATTTGATCGGCGCTCCACATCAGGAAGTATTGTGTATTCAGACAGAAATAACCAAGTACAGTTTGAAAACAACTTATATTGACAGCATTTTAAGTCAATAAAACTGATATTTTTACAAAAGGGCAGATTTTATCAAAAATCAAAATGGGAAATTATGACATTCACACATGCCCACTGTTGCCTTGTGTAATGAGCATGTACCAGAAACAACAACAATGGTGGCTACATCACAGGTTCACAATGTTAGTTTAGCACTGCTAGGTCTACTTACAAGTTAGCACCTAACATTAGAACTTTAGCATCCCTGCACTACATTGCAGACATTCACAAACGTCTGCCACTCCCAATATTTCTTGGAAGACAGTGCTCTTCTCCACCTACTGGTCCAGAATTGTTGTTTGAGCCTTAAAAGTTTTTGTTTTCTTGTCTGGATGGAGATATTTTGTAAAATGAAGGTTGGTGGACAAATAATTTTTAAAAAACATAAGGGAAATTATCCATTCAATTAATATATCTCAATAAATCCTCATCAAAACATCTGTCCCAGCAGATCCAGGGAGCTGTCAGGGGAAAAAGCCAGGTCCTTCATGGTGACCAGGAGGGAATAATGACTTCCTCCTCTTAGCCATGGTCTCTTGAAAGCTCTCATCAGTTAGTCAGGGTTGGGTTGGGTTTGAACACAACACCATGTTAGTAAAAACCAATTGCAATCCGGGAAGGTAATGTTACCCTTTCTGACTTGAGCTGGAACCCATTGAGGCGACATAGTGTCTAACCACAGAGATCTAGACTAAAGACTACATTTAGAGGGTTACCAGTGTACCAGAGCCAGTGTTTACCACCTTGTCCTTGGTTAAGTCCAGCACCAACATAACCTGAGTCACCTTTTGCTGTAGATTCCTTGGTGCCAGGAATCTGAACAAATTATGTTGATCTGTTCTTGTGTTTCATGTTGTCACTGAATTGGTTCACTTTCCTGGATTGCGCTTGACATTTCTGTGACACTTTTCAAACTACACTACATATTCTGAAGTTACAGCAATACAAGTTTTTGGTTTGGTTAACGAGAGACACTACATTGACACTAAATGTTCTTTTCAGTGTAAATGGTTTTGTCTCTTTACGTTAGTCCTGCAGTGTGATGGTGATTACTTCCTAAATCCACTGAGAATGGCTCCAGCCCCTCATGACAGAAAACAGTAATACATTTCTGTTTTCACTAAAAACACTCACAGTTACTTCTTAGTCTTTTTAATCGATAATAATATTGTGTGACAGTGCACAGATGTGCTAATAAAAACAAATATTGAAAACAATCACCACAGCAATAACACACATGCAGTATCTTTCAGACAAAGCATAGGAAAATGAACATTTGCTAAAAATAAACCATAAGCCACAATAAGGTCATTGAAATTCCACTGTGAAGTACAACTGACAGGAAGATACGAGTTTTTCTTGAGTTCTTGATACTGGGAGCCCAGCGGACACATCTCTCTTCCTCGCTTCAGAGACAGACCCTCTCCATTACCATACACAGACATTAACATATTTAGCTATTTATAGACGTCTGCCTCTCCCTTTGCCAAAAGGCAGGATTACAGAGTCATAGTATTCACAGGAATTACAGGTAACATTTTGCCTGTCAATGCCTGCATTGCAGTGGTGAAAGCTGTGGCGCGTGACTCGTTACAACATAGCAGCTGGAAGCTGAACATTATTGCACACACGGATCAGATAAGGTGTAACTTCATCGATCCTTGCAGAAACATTGGTTGTGATGCTGACGTAATAGCAAAAGGATTCAGTTTTTTGTTCCATTACAAGATCCTTGGTGCACATTTTGACACAAAGTACAACTTTATTGATTCAACTGGGGAGATGTGCTTGTTACAGCAGCCCGCAAAAGAGTAAGGAAAAGAAAAAAAAACTAAACCAAATATGCATGGGTTGTAAATACTGAGGAAAAAGGGATTAGGAAACAACGTGATATATTTAGATATATATAATGCAGATGTGCAATGTGTTCTGTATAACAAATAGAAAAATTGTCATAAAGAATTCATGTCAAGGTAAAATTTCTACACTGTATAATAATTCAACACATTTTTACTTAAAGGTACAGTGTGTAGACTTTAGTGAAATCTAGTGGTGAAATTGCATGTTGCAGCTGAATACCCCTCACCTCACCCTCCCCTTCCAAACATAAGAGAACCTGTGGTAACCTTCAGTTGTCACACAAACAATACTGTTCAAAACATGGCAGCCTCCATAGAGAGGACCCCCTCAGTGTAGCCTAAATATAAAGTATTTAAATATAAAGGGCTCCTTCTAGGGTAAAGAAAACATCAATCCATACAATTTAGATGAAACACACTAGTGAAAAGATCATGAGGATTATTTATATATTCAATTTGTGCCAATAGATCCCTTTCACCTAAATCTTACACACTGAACTTTTAAGTAAGCTTTGCCCAGATTGCTCTCCTCCATGTTGCCTTCATGCCTGCGTCTGTGTTGTTTGAAAAAACAGCATAAAGAGCCTAAAGAGCATGATTTGGGACACCAGAAAATAAATGCATAATATGAAATTATATTAATATGATATATATCATCGTATTTCACAGACCTATCTTTAATGAGTGGCGGAAAATACATATATTTATTCAAAGACTGTCTCAAGTGTATATTTGTGGGAGCTTTTGAAATGATCTCCACCTAAGCCAGCAATAATGACAGAATAAAATAAATCACTGGATACAGAATGAAAAGCCACTTAATCACAGATGCAGAATTTGTTAACTTAGGAACACAATACTTCAATCTGGAATGGCAGCGTCAAAGAAGGTGGTTTCTAGCAGCAGTCTCAAAACCACTTCTCACCAGGGGAAACCAGGCCAAACACTTAGGGTGGGCTAAAAAAAAAACAGTACATTCAAAGGGTTTTGCTCTGGATCTGGTCATCTGTAATACTGCACAGGGCCTACTACACTAAATTTACTACACAATAACAAAACCCTTAAAAACATGTAGTTCATCATACACATGCTACACCCTTTAGTTTGCTTCTTTATGGAGTAATAGTGCAGCAGGATAATGACCCAAAAACATCATAGAACTTTCCAAGCAATAAATCAAAAACCAATGAGTCTTGACTGCTGTGGACTTTCCTCTGCTGTCACCTGACTTAAACCCCACTGAACATTTTTGGGGACGCCCTAAGACAGAAAGAGCAAAGCATTCTGAGAAATCACACAAAGCTGTTTGAGACATTATCAAAACATGTTGGCATAACCTTTGATTAAATAAAGTCACACTAATACATTATACACACATAATTTTATGTTTGTGTAACTTTCTTTAATCAAAAAACTTTCAAGTGATTTGATTTATTAACATCAAATCAACATGACCCTTCATTGAATGACGATTCACATCGAACTTATCTAATAAATGTAGATGAACATTTAGTATCTAATTGAAGTCAGCATTTTGGGCAAGATATTTTTTTTGAGAGGGCATGAAGCAAATCATAGGAGGGCACTGGCTCCGGCTGGAATCTGATTGGCCCTTGAAATGTGCTTGAACGAGGAACAATTTTCCAAACATACTCAACGTGTAGCTTTGCTAAAACCTATAGAGCTAACAGGGAACAAGTCTTAAACGTGCACCTTACCGAATGAGGGATATTGAGCATGGATGCTGGACATACAGTATAATTGGCCCCAACTTGTAAATTGTGGCATCTTTATGGCCCCTGATTTATAAAAATACTGGATCCACCACTGAATGTATTCTTACTTATGTGCTCTGATTAAAAGCCTTGTGTTCTGTAAAGTTAGACAGCTTTTATATGTGGATAAGTCATTCTGAGACTGTATCAGTGCATTCAAAAATGATATCTGCTTTTACAAGAGGATAATAACCACTGCTGTACAGAGCTGTGATATATTATATATATAATATTAAATACTGGATGCATCAACTGCCATTCATATGTTCTTATGTCTGGCCTCATCCGCCACAGTGAAAGTGAACGATGCGCTTTCTACTCCAGTTTTACGTCAGGAGCGTAACTGGCAGGCGCTCGCGAGAACTACCCGACGCTTGTACGCACAGTGCGCAGCGGCGGAGCAGGAGGATATAAATCACAGTCCCGGAGACAGTGTCCAGAAAAGACGCTGTCTCTCGAGCTGCTGCTGTCCACCCGAGCTGAGCCTGAGAGGACGGACACACACAGACTGTCTCCGCTGCCTCTGTACTCCAGCAGCTGCTCGGTGACTGACACAC